GCGTGCTGTCACGTGCGCAGGCGCACCTGACACACTCTGCACGTGTCCCGAACGTGGCGCAACTGGCGCGGCTGGAGCATGCGGCGCACCTGGCGACAAGGCGTGCCTGGCAGGCTTCGGCCACAGGGGTGCCTGGCGCGCGTGGCGCGCCTGGCACGCCTGGCGCACCTCGCCCCAGCGTCGCGCACATGGGTTCGGTTTGGGTTCCCAATAACTGTCGATCCAAAGACGACCGCTGAACATGCTGAGGCCCGGGTGTTACTAATGTCTTGGGAGGGCGGGTGGGAGTGAGCTAGACGGCTTGCTATCTGGGAGGGTGTCTTGACCCCTCGCCCTACCCACTCCCCTGGGCCTGGGAGGAGGGGGACGGGTAGTTGGAGTTTCAAGATGGGCCCACGATGACTCCAAACGGGCCCTCGGCAGTCCAAGGTGCTCAAGATAGCCATGGCCAAATATGGCCCAGTATAGCCTCTCACATACCTCCAATATGCCTCAAGACAGCTCCAACACGGTTCCAAGTGCCCGTCGAGCCTCCCCAGGCACCCTCCACGAGGCCAAACTCTTTCCAACACCGAAGGGAAGTCAAGGTTGACTGTCTTTTCGCTGTTTCGCTTCCGATGGGCTTTTGGGGCCTCAAGATGGCCACAAGACGGCCCAAGGGAGCCCCAAGAGGGGCCTAACAGGGCCCCAAGAGCGCCCAAGAGGGCCCCACGAGCTGCCCAATAAGGTCCCAGGACCCCATCTTTGAGTTTCCGAGGGGGAGGGGGGGTCTGAATTGGGTAGCCCCTCTCTGTTTGAGCCATGTGGCTCAAGAGGCATCTCAGACCCCTCCAATGTCAATGAGCCCCAAAAGAGGGCCCCAAGACCCCAAACATGAGCCTCAAAAGGACCACACGAGTGACCCAAGGGGCCCCGCTGGGACCCCAAGGGGGTCCCTGGACCCTAGGATGTCCCAGTTGTCCTCCAAGAACCTCTCACAACAACATATCTCCAACACCCGGCTTCTCATCCTCATTAACATCGTCCGTGCGTTCCCTCCTCCTTTCCTGCCTCCTCCATCCTCCTCCTCCTCCTCCTCCTCCTCCTCCTCCACCTCCTCATCCTCCTCCTCGTAGGAGGTCCCAGGAGGTCGAGCATGGCTCAAGCTAGCCCCCGACAGACTTTCAAGATACCTCAGAACAGCCACAAAATGGCCCATGATAGCTGAGCATGGCGCAGGATATCCTCCGACAGCCTGTAGCCGAGCATGGCTCAAGATAGCCTCCAAGAGGCCTCACTAATGCCTACAATCGTGTCTGGATGGGCTGGTGGGGGTTCTTTTATTCGCGAGCGCAAACGGAAGGGCCGCGCGCCGTCCAAAACTGGTGGGGGTACTTTCTAGGTCGCGGGCGGACGCGGAATCGCTGTCGCCGAAGGAGAGGTCCGGGCCACGGGCCTGCCAAATTGGCCACGCGCAAGCCTACAAGCACAGCGGCCGAGCCCGCACTCAGAAGCAGCCGCCGGTGGGGCCGCGGGCTGAAAGGGAGCTGGCTGAACTGACTGCAAACGGCCAGGGTAGCAGATGCACCATGCGAGTAAAAGGCTCCAAAACGCCAGAATGGAATTAATTAAGTCCTGCACGCCAGGAGATCATGATCGGCTCTGTATCTGCAAACCACGCATCAACCTAGCGGAGTGCATCCACCACCGGGCCAACCTAGTGGGCGGCGCGCTACCAAGAACGAAGAGCCCGAAGCAAAGCATTCGAGCTCAGGTACCGTGGGCGTGAGTGACCAGGTACGAACTGACCATGTCGCCACAGGGCGCCAAAGGCCAGGGCCACAGCTGTGGCAAGGTACAAGCCAGACAGGCGGTGACAGGGCGCCAGCGGGAGATGCGCAGTGACTGCCGGAAGGCTGCACCACTCCGAAACACAGCTCACGAAACCCCGAAGTCGACGCCGGACACGGACAGCTGCGGCAAGTACTGTAAACCAGGGCCCAGGGAGTGCAGACGCAAACTGGGTGCCTGGCCAGGGGCGTGCGTCGTGGACGCCGCACGGAGGGGACCGCATATTGCGCGGGAAGGCGTACCGGGCAGGTGGGAACGGACATCACCAGGCCGGCGAGAGAAGAGGCGTCCACCAGGGAAGTCCAACGCCAGGGGACGGTTGGAACTGGTGGGGATTTTTTCTTGATTGCGGCCGCGAGGCAACGGTCAGGCGGCAAACTGGTGTAGGTATGCGAAGCGTCAAAACTTCTGTTTAAACTTGGTGGTACCACCAACTCTTCTATCTAGTTGTTCTGAAGTTGTGCGGGCACGCGGTCATTCTGGGCAGCTCGCGAAGAGTCCGATGCCGCAAGTCCTCGGCTGTACAGAAGGGTGGCTGGCTCTTGTATTGCATGGGAAGATCGGCAGCGGACCGACGCAATCAACACCAACAACGTGTTCCGACACGCCTCCCGCCTCATGCCGAAGTATGTGCAAGGGGAGCCGCTGTTAACACACACGAAGATTCAACCTTGCGATGCTCACAGGCCTTTGCGCTGGTGGCAGTCTTCTCCATCGACGTTGCGTGCATTATTTGTTGGATGGGCTTCTTGGGCACGCAGGTGTGCCTTGCCAGCGTCAGTGAAGGCTCGCGGTCGGATCTCAACGGCATGTGCAAACCATTGCATGGCCGTCGCGCCCCCAGATTGGGCGATAGTGGAAGAGGAGTGCACGAAGTCATCGCTGGCGGCGCACCAGGGCTCGACGATGCTTGGCGACGACAAGCGCCCCGATTGTATCTGGGTGTGTGATGCTTCACAGGCCTTCGACCACACGTTCAGCGCGATCCAGACCGACCCAACATGGAAATATGTACCCGGAGCAGCTGGCGTGGATATGGGGGGATGGTATCACGGCAGAGTATGTGCAGGTGTGCCTGCTTTCATGCAGAAGGAGTTTGGCACAGAGTCGGTTGCGACGAGCTCTCGCGTTCCACACACACACACATTCCCGCTTGTGGAAAGCAAGCCCTTTGATCATCATTCGGGATTGAAGGCATGCCAGAAACAGCTCCACTCAAGCTGGCGCAGGGTCGTGCATGCCTCGCGATCGCAAGGTGGCAAGTGATGCCGATTGCTGGGCCGCGGCGTCAGGGGAGTGCCTTTCAAGCAACAGGCATGCCACGCGAACTGTGGGCGTTGCGTGCTGCTGCGTCGGAGGTGCGGCACGTGGAGGACTCGCTGACGGCGCGCCCAGCCTGCAGCTGTCAACGGCGCGGGGCATTTTTGGGCGCCCGAGTTATCCGGGGTAACTCGGGTCCGGGGTAACTCGGGTTTGGATTCCCGAAAAAGGAACCCGAGTTATCCCTGACCCGAGTTACCCCTGATGATTCGGGGCTCTGGACGCCCGAGTTATCCGGGGTAACTCGGGTCCGGGGTAACTCGGGTTTGGATTCCCGAAAAAGGAACCCGAGTTATCCCTGACCCGAGTTACCCCTGATGATTCGGGGCTCTGGACGCCCGAAATATCCGGGGTAACTCGGGTCCGGGGTAATTCGGGTTCGGACTCCCGAAAAACGAACCCGAGTTATCCCTGACCCGAGTTACCCCTGATGATTCGGGGCTCTGACATTTGGCGACGTCGCAGGGGCCAGCTTCGTTACACCCTCCCTGGGGCTGGCCAGCAAGGCGGAGCGACGCGAAGCGCGCAGAGCCGCCGGCGCGGGACCCTCGAGGGTCGGCGCGGGGGGCCGGGGGCCCCAGAAGCAAGGTGAAGCACTGCACACGTCTGAAGACCCAGAATGCTATGTTAGGAAGGTTGGACCTTGGTGGGCCCTGGAAACGACAGGGCCGTTTTTTTACTACCCGTTCCCCGTTTTGCCGTTTTTTTGCTGATTCCGACGCCGTTTTTTTTTACCGGTTCCGTCGCCGTTCTTTGACGGGTTCCCGCTCCGGTTCCAATCCTGGAGCCGTTTTTGTTGCCGTTTCCGGTCGCCGTTCTTTTGCCGTTCCCATTCTCAAGGGACACTTTGTTTGGAAACGGTGAAAAAAAAACACGGCCCTGCCGTTTCCGGGGCCCACTGAGGGTTGGACTGGTCAGGAGAAGATTGAAGACGACGATCCCCATCACCAACATCACGATGGCGAGCCCTGTTCCTGCTGCGCATCCTCTGCTGCTGATTGCACTTCTCCTGCGGCCGCCCGTTGCGATCTCGACCACAGGCCCAGTGTGTGGCGCGGGACGGGTGGCGTGTCTCGTGTCCACGAGCTCGCGCTGCGCTGCGGGCCCATGCCCTCTCGGCGCCGTGCATGACGGAGCCGGGGAGATGATCTCCATGATCATCTCGAAGCAAACTCATGCCCGCGGCAGCCCACAGCAACAGTCGGGAGCCGGCCATTCGCCGCCGTAGCCGCCCGTGCCAGGCGGGGGAAGGCGAGCGATCGCGCCGCGCGCCACCCGTGATGTCACCTCTACGCTGGGCAAAGCGAGAGGCTGGTGTGCAAAGAAACGGGCCGCCCCGGAAGCACACGCACTGAACCACCTCGGAGGAGGAGGAGGGCGACGATGATGGCGGTGATGATGCTGCTGCTGATAATGATGATGATGATGCTGCTGATGATGATGGTGGTGATGATGATGGCGATGATGATGATGATGATGACGATGACGATGACGAAGATGATGATGATGATGATGATGATGATGATGATGATGATGATGATGATGATGATGATGATGATGATGATGATGATGATGATGGTGATGATGATGATGATGAGGATGAGGATGATGACGAGGATGACGATGACGATGATGATGATGATGATGATGATGATGATGATGATGATGATGATGATGATGATGATGACGATGACGACGATGATGATGATGCTGATGATGATGCTGATGATGGTGGTGATGATGATGATGACGACGATGACGATGGTGATGCTGATGATGATGATGACGCTGATGATGACGATGATGAGGAGGACGACGACGACGACGACGGAGCTGGGGGGAAGCGGCGCCTGAGAGCACTCTGCCCGGGTCGAGCGCGAAGTCCTCCGGCAGCGGCGTGGGCTTGCTCTTGCCGCCCTTGCCTCCCAGGGGGGGGAGCGCCGGCAGGAGGGGGAGGAGGAGGAGGAGGAGGAGGAGGAGGAGGAGGAGGAGGAGGAGGAGGAGGAGGACGAGGAGGACGAGGAGGAGGAGGAGGAGGAGGAGGAGGAGGAGGAGGAGGAGGAGGAGGAGGAGGAGGAGGAGGAGGAGGGGGGGGAGGGCCAGCGGGAGGAGTGACAGTCACAAAAGGAAGAGGAGCAGGCGGAGGAGGGAGCAGGCGGAGGAGAGGAGTACAGTCGGGGCGTTGACCTAAGGAAGCCTGAATCAGGAACGAGGCCCCTTTTTTCCATGAGTTAACCTTCGATTTCCTGCCGAAAACCTAAGGAAAGCCTGAGGCAAGCTGTGAAACACTTAAGGAACGCGGAGCCCCTCCCCAACGAAAAGGGTTCCTTCTTCAGGGCCCCGACAGTAAGAGCAGCAACAGCAGGAGGAATATGAGGCGCAAGCGCAGCAGGGTGCGGAAGATGATTTTGTTGTTCACGATGACGGCGAAGCAAACGACGACTACGACGGTTATAACGCTGTGACGATGATGCTGGTATGGAAAGGATAAAGACAAATTTGAGTAGAATGCTGCCGCTGATGCACACAACGAGGGCAGCGGCCATGAGAATGGCGACGACAAGGATGAGTAGGCTGTAAATCAGAGCCGTGGTAACTACGACGATGGTGTAGACGTTGGCAATGAAGACGATGACGACGATACTGCCGATGGCAATGGTAGTGGTGCGGTTGATGATTCTCATGATGACCAGGGCCATGAAGGATGAGCGTTGGAAAGCAGGGGGAAGTAAGGAGCGGGATAATAGGATTGATCCACTGATCTTTCCATGTGTGTGTGTGTGCATTTCAATACAAAGAGAGAGAGAGAGAGGGAGAGAAAGAGCGAGAGAGAGCGAGAGAGCGAGAGAGAGAGGGGAATATATATATATATGTATAGAGGGACAGAGAAGAGGAGATGGAGGACGAGGAGGTTGAAGAAGACAATCAATAACGAAGACACGGTATGAAAGAGACCAGATCGGAAAACACTCCAGATGGGCAGTAGGATGAGGAGTACGAGCGCTACAGGGAGCAATATCAGGGTGAGGGCGAGGAGACAAGGCCGCCGTGATGAGGACGGGCATGAGGGCAGTGAGCGAAAAGGGCAACACGCTGAGACGGAAGACGTGGACCGCGCAGCCACACGCCGTGCAGCGGAGGGGTTACGAAGACGGGGCGCGACAGATTTTGTGGATTGGCTCCTCGCTGAAGCATGCGGCTTGTCGAGACTGGGTGGCGCTGCAGCTAGCAGAATATTAATCAGACCGAACACTTCTGCATGGGCACCAAGGACGCAAGGACAGTAGTTCCCCCCGGTACATAGTAACCTCCGACCCTTAACTGGCACAGGTTTATCAACTGTGGTCAGTGCTGTAGAAATGCAAGGCACAGAGAGAGCTCCTGCAAGCGATGATGTGCATCCCCAGAGGCATTGTCCATAGGGCGCGACAGGGGGAGGGAGGGGGGCGGGGCACGTGCAGACCACGAGGGCGTCGAAGCCACGAGCGCGCTGCAGCCCGTGCGCTCCGTGGCATCCGCACCGGGCGGCAGCACAGATGCGGTGAAGGTTTTTTTTTGAATTCCAAACGCAGCGCCGACTTCACAGCGCTAGCACACGCCCGCGGCACTGGATAAAGGAATCCAGGGTCTGGAATCGCGGAGCTCCAATTGTGGAGGGGCCATGGGTATCACCGACGCCCTCGTTGGATAAGGGACCATCCAGGGTCTGAAGCCTCCTAGGCACATTCTTTAACGAATGCCCCCACCGTAGTCATCATTATGCGAATGCTACTTAGCAGAAGTAGTTCCAGTGCCAGTATCAGTATCAATGGCAATCGTAGGGTTACTCGTGCCCGTAGACATCGGAAGAACAATTGCTACTGTAATAGTAATGGTAATCGCAACCACACTCGTAGCGACCACGTATGTAACAATCGTACCAGAAGCCGTGCTGGTGCTGAATACGTCGGGGACGGAAGCGCATGATGATGAGGGGCAATTGCCACGATCGTACGGACGGTACGCATGACAGGGCGGGTGAAGTACAATGGACATGACGAGGGCACACACAATGGGCCCGATGATGGAGGGGCAGAGGGGGGCCGATCCTGGTGACGCTGCTGAAGATGGCAGTGCGATGGCGACGATGGTGCTGATGCGGTTGGTCATTTCGCTGGCGGCGCCGACGGGAACGACGAGGCTGAGGAGTCTGAAGAATGATGACAGCACCATGGCGCAATGCTGCCGTGGCCCTCGCCTCCTCCCTTCTTGTACTGCGGCCACGCCCAGCCCCAGCCGCCCTTCATAGCTCAGCGCGGGCCTGCGGGCCGTGGCGGAAGGATGCAGAGTAACGTGCTCTCAGCTTCCTCTTGCTTGCCCCCACAATCACCACCACCTCCTCCTCCTCCCTCCTCCTCCTCCTCCTCCCCCTCCTCCTCCTGAAAGAGGAGGAAGCGGGAGGAGGAGGAGGAGGAGTAGGAGGAGGATGATAATGAGGACAGGAGGGGTTCAGGTAGTTCAAGGCTTGCGTGCGTTCCAATAAGTTCCTGGGGGGTCCTCTGCTTCCTCCTCCTCCTCCTCGTCCTGTTCCTCGTCTCGGTCCTCCGCCTCCTCCTCATCACCACCACCACCACCATCACCATCATCATCATCATCATCAGCAGCAGCAGCAGCATCATCATCATCATCATCGTCATCATCGTCATCATCATCATCAGCATCATCATCACCATCAGCATCAGCAGATTCGTAGTCATCATCATCATAATCATCATCATCACCATAATCATCATCATAATCATCATCACCAGTATCATAAGCATCTCCTTCCTCGTCCTCCTCCTCCTCCTCCCCTCACGCCTTCTTCTCACCCTCCACCGTCAAACCTACCGCATGTTACCATTACTCTCCTTTCTCGCCTGACTCTGTCCGGAGGGTGTTCCGCCCTCTCCGAGTTATGTTGTTACGCAGGAGTTTTCATAATTCGGTCTTACATATAGCTTGTCCACGGAACTTGGTTGCCCGGATGCGCAAGACGCAAGCGTTTTGATACGGAGCTCAACACGTAGACTGACAGCGTAGGTATGACGCGATACGTTTGCTAAAGCGTGGGCTAACACGCTGAGCCAACACGCAACGTATTGGCACGGACGTTTGACGCACAGTACGTGCTGCGTTTCGAAGCGGGCGTGTCGAGGCATCTGAGCCACGGAACGTGCTCGATGCCTCAAAACGGCGCTCCCGCTGAAGCGTTGACCTCGTTTTAGGATCGACGTCTTGCTCCGACCGCTCAGGATGTCGCTCTCGCCCCGGCGCGGGCCGCTATTCTGGATCCGCGTCCCTCCGCGCTCCGTTCCCATCCCCTGCAATCCTGATCCTCCTGCTCCTCTCGCTCCTGCTACTGAGGTTCCTCCTCATCCTACTCCTCCTCGTCCTTCAATGTATACAGCTCCACTCGTCGGATTTCGCACGACACGCCGGGGTCCTTTTTGGGGGGATTCAGGCCCGCCATGGCAACATCCGGCGGGTAGAGAAACAACTCAGCGCCATAGGGAGGGATGGGTTGGAGGGGTAGGATGTCGGACATGGCGCCAGCGCGCCTACTTTGTCCCCAGCCCTCTCCATCCCTCTGTACTCCGTCCTTTTCCTCCCTCGCTCGCTCGCTCTCCATCATTGTCCTCCTCCTCCTCCTCCTCCTCCTCCTCCTCCTCCTCCTCCTCCTCCCCCTCCTCCCTCCTCCTCCTCCTCCTCCTCCTCCTCCTCCTCCTCCTCCTCCTCCTCCTCCTCCTCCCCTTCCTCCTCCTCCCCTTCCTCCTCCTCCCCCTCCTCCCCCTCCTCCCTCTCTTCCTCCTCCTCCACCGCCTCCACCTCTGATGTACCCCTCTTCGTGGTAGAACAGTTTATCCCTGCAGCACTACTTGAAATGTCAATAGGGCGGGACGGACTCTTCGCCCCAGACTTCCACACCGTCGACGATGCCGAACTTGGATGTTTCTATCTGTTATACGAGCTGACTGTGATTCGTCTTCGAAATGGGGCTCTCCCAAGAAGTCGGCCCAAAACTGTATCAATATGCTTACCGTTCCTTCTCCTCCTCCTCCTCCTCCTCCTGCTCGCCCTCGCCCTCCTTCTCCTCTCTCTCCTCCCCCAATGGGCTCCGCAACGGCAGGGGGGGCATGTAGTCCAACAGCCTGGACAGAGCTTGACCCAACATTTGGCCGCATTGGCGTTTCGAAGAGGCAGGGGGCGGCGGTGGTCCGCCAAAGGCTTCTTCGATCGATTCTTCAGAAGGGACAAACGCATAGATGTTGTTTCAACATGTCAACTCCGATGTAAGAACTAACATCCCGCTCGGCCCCCAAAGGTTGGAATACCCAGGAAGCCGAGAGAGCAAATCATACAGGTCGGAACTTGCTGGCACAGCCGTCCCAGCAGGCGCAACGGGAGCGCGGACCCCTGTCGCGCGGATCCATGTCTCGGGCGGGAGAGTGATGATGATGATGATGATGATGATGATGATGATGATGATGATGATGATGATGATGATGATGATCATCATGTCTCGGCGGCGAGCCCAAAAGGGAAGTGAGAAAGGGCGGGCCTTCTCAGAAGTCTCGGAAGTCCCCCCGCCTTCTGAAACAAATTCTCAGCCGTCGCCAGAGACAAAGAACACCTCTCGGAAGGCGCGAGGACTTCTGAGAAGGCCTTCTCCTTCTCACTTCACCCCCTCTCCCGCCGCCGAAACAGTTTCGTTCAACGACAACTGGTGTTCAGGTGTGTCCGAGGAGCTGTGCCTGGTGAGCGGTTTTTTATTCAGCGTTTGGAGGAAAGGCGGGGTCAGGGGGGGATCTGGCTCCAGACCTCTGCTTAGTGCGACTGTTTGCAAGAGTGTTGCCTCTGGGGGAGACTCCGCCCGCTCGAAACAGCCGCCAAAAAACAGCCAAGATCTACTCCGAGGGGGGGGAGGGGGGCCCGCGCCGATCGGCAAAACAAGGAATGAAAAAACGATCAACTGGAAATTTCGCAACACAAATCGTTTTGAAGGATCTCGGTCTGCGTCCGAGTCAGGACGCGTGCATGTGGCCCGCATAGTAAGTCTACAGCTTGCGACTTTAGCAAATGCGCGATTGATTGTATGCGATCTCGACATGCGCGCACCGGGGGCGCGCGCGTGTGCTGGGTATTGCCATGTGATTGGGCTTCCTACAAAACGAAATTCCCTAATCGGCTTGTCTGCGGAAATAGCGGAAGCTAATAGGAGCGTTGCCAGGTCCGGAACGGGACGGGCGGCGGTAGTTCAATGTCCCCCATTGCCTCCAATTGTTACCCTCCCGTTGCCTGTTCCTATCCCTCTCCGCATCCGTGTCCGTATTCATCTCTGGGAGAGCGCGCTTCGTGGATGTTTGCTTGGTCCACAAACTCCAGGACACGTCGGAACCGGCCCCCCCCACCACCCCAAAAAACATGTACAAGGCCCCCCGACCTTTGTGGGCCCCGGAAACGGCAGGGCCGTTTTTTCACCGTTTCCCAAAAAATGCCCTTTGAAAATGGAAACGGCAAAACAACGGCGACCGGAAACGGCAAAAAAACGGCTCCAGAATTGGAGCTGGAGCCGGAACCGGTCAAAAAACGGCGACGGAACCGGTGAAAAAACGGCGTCGGAACCAGCAAAAAAACGGCCAGACGGAACCGGTAACAAAAACGGCCCTGTCGTTTCCAGGGCCCGCTGAGCCCCCGACCCCCCGGACTCTCGAACGGGGGGGGCCCTCCAGCGGGGGGGGCGGATGCGAAGCGGCCCCTCCCCCCCCGCCCTGGCCGAGGGGCGGGGGGGGGGTCGAACCTGGGGGGAGGCCCCCGCTCCTCGCCTCAAAGGAACCCGATCAGTCCTCGGTCAAGCTCTGACAGAACCCTACTGCAGCTCGGCCCAGCTTCAGCAGCATCCTATGTCGGGGTCGGCCCCAGCAGAATCCTACTACAGCTGGATCACGACCGACTGAGATTCTGCCAGGGCTCGCTCCAACTCTCATGCGATCGCACTAGAGCCGGATCCCACTCCATGTCATCCTAATCGGGCGCGGTCTAACTATGATAGAACCCCACTGCGGCTGGATCCAGCTCTTCACCAATCCTACAAAAGCACGCTCCATCTCACATAACATCCTACTATAGCTAGATCCAGGTTTAATTTAGATCGAAGGGGAGCTTACTAGGGCTAAACTCAGCCTGGATAGACCCCTACTCAGGCTCGATCGTCGTCGTCTCTGCCCAACGGCTCTGGCGCTCGCCGTCGACGGTTGCCACTGCTGGGGAGGCAGGGGTGGAAGCCCCGTCCGGTTCGAACCCCCTCCCTTCTTGAAATTCCTCCTCCTCCTCCTCCTCCTCCTCCTCCTCCTCCTCCTCCTCTATTCCTCCTGATCCTCCTCGTCGTCCTCCTCCTCCTCTTCCTCCTCCTCTTCCTCCTCCTCCCCGTCCTCCTCCTCCTCCTCCTCCTCCTTTTCCTCCTCTTCCTCCTCCTCCTCCTCCTCCTCCTCACCGCCCCTTTTGGGGGGGGGGCCCGTTCAAACCCCCTCCTTACACTTCAGCGGAGGGGGGGGCGCCGTTCGAACCCCCCGCCCCACTTCCCAGCGTCCTCAGAACGCGCCCTTCCCTATCTATATCCCGATCCCTATCCATATCCCTTTGCGCGTTGTATGTCTCTCATTGTCTCCCATTGCTCCCCGTTGCATCCCATTCTCGATCCGTATTATGATCCCTATCGCTGTACCTCTGCCTCTGCTCCAGTCCTATCCCGTTTATCCCTATCTCTAGGCCTATCCCTGTCCCCAATCCTTAATCACTGTTCCCTATTAATAAACACCCCCTCCCCCAGGCGACTGGTAGCCAACCCAGAACCATGCGGGCACCCCCCCACCACCCATTGTTAAACAAACAATGCAAAACACACTCTGCCTCCAAATTCGGGGCATGCGCAGCCAACCCGATGAGGCCTCCCCCCACCATCCCTTTCAAACAAAAAATACAGAGTACGCTTGGCGGCGGCGGCGGCTGCGGCGGCTGCGGCGGCAGCGGCGGCGGCGGCGGGGGCGGCGGCGTCGGCGGCGGCGGCGGCTGCGGCGGCGGCGGCGGCGGTGGCGGAGGAGGCGGCGGCGGCGACGGTGGCGGCAGCGGCTGCGGCGACAGCGGCTGCGGCGGCGGCGATTTGGCAGCGGGGGCGGCGGCGGCGGCGGCGGCGGCGCGGCGGCGGCGGCGGGCAGCGGCGGCGGCGGCGGCGGCGGCGGCTGCGGCGGCGGCGGCGGAGGAGGCGGCGGCGGCGGAGGCGGC